ATTAACTTTGATATCTTTGAGTAAGTCCTTGATGTCTCGAAGAGTGTCTTTGACTATATTTCTTACTTAACGACATATAATTTTAGTTAGGAACAATGACGAAAAAGTTAAATTTGACTATTTTTAGTGCTCCACAAAGTATAAATGTCAGTTAAGAACGACGATGATAGATATCTTTGACTATATTTTCTTACTTGACGATGGATAAAGTTAGTTATGAACAGTGCTGAAAAGATTCCTTTGACAATTTTTAGCTAAGCGAAAGGTTGTTTTAGTTAAGAACGGTGTTGAATGAGATTAATCCTGACTATTTTCAGATGAGAGAAGTGATATTTCAGTTAAGAAATGACAAGGAAACATGATGAAGTAACTATTTTTAGTTGACCGATGAATACTTTTAGTTGAGCAAAAGACAAAACATGATGAACATGACTTTTCTGATGATTGGTGGATAATTTTTAGATAAGAAATGACAATGAAACATGATGAACACGGTTATTTTCTGTTGACTATGGATAAGTTTAGTTGAAAAATGACGAAAGTGACTATGTTTTAGTTGATTGGCGAAAGATTTTTAGTTAAGAAGTTACGAGAAAGGTTTGTCTTTGTAAATTTGGAACTGAATAAAGTGTAGATTTGTTTAAGAACGGGGTTGGTAGAACTATTAAGTTGACTACGAGAATTACTTTGACCTAGTTTTGAAAATAAAAACTTGGTGACTAAAATTGTTGAGGAAACTGTATTGCTGATGCTAATATTTGACAAAGAACTAGTTAGTGAATGGAAGAAACAAAGAACATAAAAAATTGAGGTTAAGTAGGGGAATGAACACAGTGAACATACGGTGAACACAGAAAACATGTAAGAAAAAGTTGATGAATAGAGTGAACATGCAGGGAATATGAACTTATAGAGAATATGAAGACATGATAAGGAACATAGGGAATACAAAGAATGAACACTGAACATGTGAAGAACAAGCTAAGAACATCGAGAACATGAATATTGAGTATAAAAGTTATACAGAGAACATATGATGCACATGAAAATATGACAAAGAACATAGTGAACATACGGGGAAAACGGCAGAAAAAATTTGAACTGAGCATGCTGTGAACATTTATAGAACATGGAATGAACACAGAAAACATGGAAAAAATGTGAAGAACACAGCTGAATATAGAGAAAATATGCAAATACAGGGGGACAAGAGCTGGAGCTCAGTAACTGACTTGATCTTATTTACTACGTCTGAAATATGACTGTTTAAAATTTCAGGGGGATTGGACTGCTAGTAGCGAAAATGTGGTCTCTGTCAAATTTGGGTCTTTAATTGGACTCTGATTAATTTCGATGATGAACTGGACTCGGAATATTTTGGCACAAAGTAGACTCTGGCGAATTTTCGGTATAACCTGGACTCTGACGAAAATTGGGTATAAAATGGACTCTGTCAAATTTTCAAAGATTACAGGACACTGATGAAATTTGCTCTCAAAGTAGACTCTGGCGAATTTCTGTTGATAATTGGACTCTGATGAAATATGAGCTTAAAACTGTCTCTGACGAATTTTCCTCTCAAAGTAGACTCTGGCGAATTTCTGTTGATAATTGGACTCTGATGAAATATGAGCTTAAAACTGTCTCTGACTAATTTTGCTCTCAAAGTAGACTCTGGCGAATTTCTGTTGATAATTGGACTCTGATGAAATATGAGCTTAAAACTGTCTCTGACTAATTTTGCTCTCAAAGTAGACTCTGGCGAATTTCTGTTGATAATTGGACTCTGATGAAATATGAGCTTAAAACTGTCTCTGACTAATTTTGCTCTCAAAGTAGACTCTGGCGAATTTCTGTTGATAATTGGACTCTGATGAAATTTGAGCTAAAAACTGTCTCTGACTAATTTTGCTCTCAAAGTAGACTCTGGCGAATTTCTGTTGATAATTGGTCTCTGATGAAATTTGAGCTAAAAACTGTCTCTGACTAATTTTGGTCTTTACAGGTGAAATAGCCGTAAATGGATATAAAACTAAATGTTGTGGCTAAGTTGTCTGTTTTCTTTAACAAAACATCTAAGACAATATTCTCTGAAAATGGTCCTTTTACGAATTCGGTCATAAACATATAAATAAACTTCTATGATTATTTGAAACTCTGAAAATAGCTGTAAGGAAATAGGAGGAGAGAGAGAGAGAGAGAGAGGGACGGTCCAGATATTATTATGGAGAAGATAAGATACGATTACCGAGGTGACCTGAAGGCCGCGTCTGGCTGACGTCTAAAGTAAACACAGGTGAGGCGATAGATTGCTATTTCTCCCATAAGCCCTTAACAAACTTCTAAGTCTCGGAAATTATTTTTCTCATAAGAATTCCATACTTCTAAAATCTCGGAAATTACTCACTCATAAGAAATCCTTAATCCCAAATCTGTGACTATCCAAATTCACCTGAAAACCCTGGCTCACACGTGGGATATTGGACCTCAAAAAAAAAAGTTACCTGTGGCGTGTACAGTCCACAGGGGTCCTCTCGCCAAAAAAAAAAGTTACCTGTGGCGTGTCAACCCTACAACTTTGGGCGACCACCATATGTCTTGTGCGACCAACATATGTCTTGTGCGACCTCCATATGTCTTGGGCGACGACCATATGTATTGGGCGACCAACATATGTTGTGTGCGACGACCATATGTCTTGTGCGACCACCATATGTTGTGGGCGACCACCGTATGTCTTGTGCGACCACCATATGTCTTGTGCGATGCCATATGTCTTGTGAAACAAGCATATGTCTTGTGCGAACACCATATGTCTTGTGCGATTACCATATGTCTTTCGCGAATACCATATGTCTTGGGCGACAACCATATGTCTTGTGTGACCAACATATGTCTTGGGCGAGCACCATATGTCTTGTGTAACCAACATATGTCTTGGGCGACCACCATATGTCTTGTGCGACAACCATATGTCTTGTGCGACCACCATATATCTTGTGCGACCATCGTATGACTTATGCAACCAACATATGTCTTATGTAACTCCCTTATGTCTTGTGTGAACACTCTATATCTTGGACGACCACCATATGTCTTTTGCTACCACAATATGTCTTGGGCGACCACCATATGTCTTGAGCGACCACCGTATATCTTGGGTGACCACCATATGTCTTATGCATCAAACATATGACTTATGCAATCACCATTTGTCTTGTTCATCCATCATATGTCTTGTGCAACAACTATGTGTCTTGTGCGGCAGCTATATGTCTTGGGCTACCACAATAAGTATTGGGCGACAACCATATGTCTTGGGCAGCAACCATATGTCTTATGCAACCACCATATGTCTTATGCAACAACCATATGTCATGTGCAACCACCATATGTCCTTTGGGACCGCTATATGTCTTGTTCGATCACCATATGTGTTATGCTGCAATCAAATGTCTTATGCAGATACCAAATGTCGTGAGCGACCACAATATGTCATGTGTGACCACCATATGTCTTGGGTGACCACCATATTTCTTATGCAACAACCGTATATCCTGTGCGAAAACCATCTGTATTGTGTGACCACTATATGTCTTGGTCGATAACCACATGTCTGTTGACCCCACCATATGTCTTGTGCGACCACCATACGTCTTGTGTGACCATCCTATGTCTTTTCGACCACATATGTCTTGGACGACCACAATATGCCTTATGCAACCACCATATGTCTTGTGTGACCACCATATGTCTTGGGCGACCACCATATGTCTTGGGTGACAACAATATGTCTTGGGCGACCACCATATGTTTTATGCAACCGCTATATGTTTTGTGTGACATCTATATGTCATGTGCAATAACGATATGTCTTATGCAGCCACCATATGTAATGTGCGACCGCCATATGTCTTGTGTGACCACTATATGTCTTGCGCAACAACCATATGACTTGTGCGACCACCATATGTAATGTGCGACCACCATATGTCTTATTCAACAACCATATGTCTTATGCAGCCACCATATGTCTTGTACGACCACCATATTTCTTATGCAACAACCATCTGTCTTGTGCGTTTCACCATATGTCTTGGGTGACCACCATATTTCTTATGCAACCACCATATGTCTTGTGCGACCACCATATGTCTTGGGTGACCACCATATTTCTTTTGCAACCACCATATGTCTTGTGCAACCACCATATGACTTGTGCGACCACTATATGTCTTGGGTGACCGCCATATATCTTGAATGACCACCATATTTCTTAATCAACCACCATATGTCTTGTGCGACCACCATATGTCTTGGGTGACCAACATATTTCTTATGCAACAACCATATGTTTTGGGTGACCACCATATTTCTTGTGCAACCACCATATGTCTTGTGAGACCACCATATTTCTTGGGCGACCACCATATGTCTTGTGCGACAACCATATTTCTTGGGCGACCACCATATGTCTTGTGCAATCACCATATGTCTTGTGCGACCACCATATGTCTTGTGCGATCACAATATGTCTTATGCAATAACCATATATCTTATGCAACCACCATATGTTTTGTGCGACCACCATATGTCTTTTCACATAGAAGTTTGCAACACCTCTGAGGGTTTCATCAAACACAGATTTTTGTTCTTTTTTAATCACTTGTGGCCATCAAAGATCACTTCGATTCCATTTACACATCATTTTATTTTGCTGAAATTTTAATTTGCTACAAGGGCCTTCGAAATATAAGAAGCAGTTCAGCCATTGCTTCGATTGGCAGCAAACCAAAGAAAAACTAATTGGTATGGATTTGAGCAACAAGTTAATGTTATTATGGAAGTTGAGTCTGGTATCTCCAGGAGAGTTGATTGTGGCTAATACAAATTATTGTTACGCCGTATACAAATAACACGGCATACAATTATTTTATTCATTTTTATATTTTATAATAGTAAATACAAATCTTAAACAATAGGACAACGAAAACACATACATTTCAAGGTGATGTCTGTTAAATGCGGTGATGTTGAACTGGCGGGCACAGCACTGGAAGGCGCTGCCAGCCTGGTATAACATGAAGACGGTGTGGCCCAGCAGCAGGAGGTTCATCACGAACAGAAGTGCCACTATTCCATAAAAGTGTGTTAAGCGTTCAATATCACCTGAAAATGTTAAACAAGTTTCAGCAGTGATCAAATATTACATATTGTTTCTCAAAGTAATATCGCATCTACAGACCTACACAGTTAAAATAAATAATTTATTCTTTATTTCAAATCATAATTTAAATGACAAATGAGGTGAAAAAAATAGTTTTTTTGTGTGACCACCATAATTGTACTAAAGAGGCACCCTTCTTGAGCCCGGATGGGCACATGTATAAGCAAGTAGATGGGGTCGCCATTGGTTCTCCCCTAGGTGTCCTGTTTGCAAACTTCTACATGGGTACCATCGAGCAAAAAGTCTTAGTCGAAATGAACTTGAAACCGGCCATATACTGCAGGTATGTTGACAACATTTTTACACAGGTATCTGATGTCAGACATCTGCAGGAGCTGAAGGAGGCATTTGAGCAGAGTTCCGTGCTGCGTTTCACTTTCGAGATGGAAAAGGATGGGAAGCTGCCCTTTCTAGATGTAACAGTCATGGAAAAGAGCGGATGTTTCCACACTGCAGTCTACACTAAGGAAACGAACATAGGAATGTGCCTAAATGCCAAAAGCGACTGCCCAGACAGGTACAAGAGGAGTGTTGTTAACGCATATGTCGACCGTGCTCTCAGCCACAGCTCAGAATGGAAGCAAGTCGACGAAGAACTCTGTAGGGTAAGGCAGGTCCTAGTCAACAACGGCTTCTCCAATGGTTTCGTCGAAGACATCATAAGAAGGAAAGTGAAACGCCATGCAACCTCTGAAGAGACAACTAACACAGCACCTATACCCCCTATTAGACTATTTTACAGGAACTTCTTTTCCACAGCTCATAAAACGGTTGAAAGGGTCCTGAAAGATATTGTTAATAGAAACGTTATCCCTACAGACAAAAATCAGAGGATACAACTGACGATTTACTATAAAATCAGAAAAACGGCCAGCCTACTCATGAGAAACTCTCCAGACACAAAGCAGAACGCTTTAAAAGAGACCAATGTCGTCTATGCCTTCAAATGCCCACTTGGGGATTGTAAACTCCAAAAAAACCAGTATATAGGCAAGACAACAACATCTCTTTCTAGGCGTTTAACGATGCATAAGCAACAGGGCTCCATTAAGGAACATATAATCTCTTCCCACAACCAAACCATCGCCAGAGAAATCCTAGTAAACAACACAGAAATCATCGATAGATACAGCGATAGCAGACGGCTTGACGTTTGCGAGGCACTGCACATTAAGAAGTCAACACCAGCAATCAACAGCCAATTAATGCACAACTATATTCTACCCACCTCAAGACTCCGCTCCAATATAGAAGCATCAAGAAATATGGACCAATAGGCTTTCTACAATCACTTCCATTTCAATACCCATTGTTTCGTGTTCTGTCTTGTGTTGATGAAATTAATACCCTATTAAATACCACCTCACCCCATCCACCTCACTCAAATGCAGATATAAACAAATCGGAGATATGTAAGTTCTATTCAGTTGTGTATGTGTAAAGTCTTTGAAAATGTAATAAGTTTTACGAAACGCGCTCAAGTGTCACGTCAGACTAGAAATAAAAATGAATTTTGGAAAATTTATTTTTGAATTACCTCGAACAGTGAAAAGAAATGTACGAAAGATTGAGAAAATTCGTGTTAGAATTATTAATTTTTACTTTTTCGGTCATATTTAATAATATATGTCTACAGGAAAGACTGCTACCAAAATATACTAATATATATATATATATATATATGTGTGTATATCACGAAAATAAACACGTGATTAAGAATGTGACAATGTCAGACCACGGAGGAAAAATGAAACAGGAAATTTCCTTAAGTACTTTCGTATATTAAATACATCTTCAGAAGGTCATTTTACAGATCGAGTGATGGGTATAAATAGGCAGGAGAGAGTGGTGAAGTAAGGTGAGGTACAATACTTGGACAACGCAGAAGGCCCATTGGCCCATCAGATGCACCCAATTGGCCCATCCGATGTAGCCCAATGGCCCATCTGATACAGCAGACATACAAGCATAATACATAGGTAATTATAACATAAAGAGGTAAAATGCTAATGCTTTGTTTGTGCATTGTGCATAAAATTGACAAATTACTTATTCCAACAAAACCGTTTAGCTAAAACAGCTCAATTTGATATAAAAAAAAGTCATAAAATAATACATGTAATCTTAAGCCTATAAAACATTAATAGCAGTTGCCAGGTATGATCGATTCTTTTTTATATTTTTTAGTTCTTGTTTAAGTATGAGCCTGAAAGCTGGCTGTTATGGGTTCCCGTGTTCATAAACATATATCCTTGTAATTTTCTGGGGGTGAGCTCCCATGTTGACATTCATGTGACATTGATCCTATTTCAGACAGCCGGCTGCCTCTGGTGGAGTTCTTTATTCTTCTGTCAACAAGTAAGCTACTGTGGTGTGATTAGGACGAGACTTACATCTCAACGTCTAATGAATGTAAATGTAACGTCTAATGTAAATTCCTTACTTAAATTTCTCAAATACAAAAGTATGGGAGCTTATCCATTATTGTTATTGTTATTATTATTATTATTATTATTATTATTGTTAATTTTAACTTTCAGAGATGCACGAATTATAATTCAGCTCAATTGTTCCAGCTTTTGTTTGCTTACCTTATTACTCGCCAGATGTCAAAGCACATTACATTCAGCCAGAAAAACACTGCCAAAAATGAAAACTGAAGAATTACTCCTGGAAAGAGAATAAAAGAGATCATTGACTGTAATAAAATGCCCCTTCTGTACTTAGCCTCAAAAGTTTTCACTGACCATTGATGGTCAAACCTTGTCTCCTCTACGAGGCGATAGCACACGGAAATCCGATATCAACCAAAATCTGAGATAAATTTCCATAGTGCAATGAAGTGTTAATTCCCAAAAACCAACAACGCAAACTCCTTAGGAATTGTTTATTTTAAATATTTAAATGGCAAAACAAAACTCTGAAAAGTACTAAACATGTGATCCCAGATAATCCTCCAATTTGCTACCTGGTTATAATTTTATGGTTTCCTATAGTCTGACAGTCTATAGTCTATAGTATATAGACTATATACACTTATAGTCTTAAGGGGCTGACAGCTGAATGCTCACCGCCTCGGATTCGTAGTCCTGAGGTTCTGGGTTCGATCCTAGCTGGAGGCGGAAACAAATAGGAAGAGTTTCTTTCACCATGATGCACCTGTTACCTAGCATTAAATAGGTACCTGGGAGTTAGACAGCTGCTACGTGCTGGGGGGGGGGGTGTAACAAAAAGGAGGCCTAGTCGAGGACCGGGCAGCGGGGACGCAAAGCCCAGAAATAATATCAAGATAACCTCAAGATAGTCAGGGGACAGAAAGCCTGTTTAGGCTTAACGAAATCTTCGTTAAGCCGTCTGTTGAACTTTTCCAGGATGCAACCCACAACAGTTGCCAAATTCCTAGATACATCCTTACTGCTTGGCGAAAAGTAAATATTTGCCAAATTACCCTGCCTGGGAATGAAATGGTTCTGTCTGGGAATGAAACCTGGTATCTTTTGGTTGTGAACCAATGCCAGTAACAAACGCACTACAGCCCCAGCAAAGAGCCCCCACACGCTCTAGCCCAGAGGCAGTGTACTGCCTGAGTGAAGTAAGGAGAGACAGGTCTGGGATGGTGAGCTACTTAGGGGCCATGGTAAACGAAAATCCGATGAAAAATGGAATATTTACGAAAATTACGAAAAATACTACAACGTTCTGGCAACACTGTGGTCCAAACCGTTTAATGATATCTTGAAAAATAACGTAATTAGAGTCAAATTTCCCGCTGCAACTTTCGTGAATCTGGTCCTCGCGCCGTGAGTACGCCGCGGGGTATTGTATCTTACGTTGTAGATGTCTTATTTTTCGTAATAGCGTTGAAAATAACATGTTATGCATAAAATGAATATAAACTAACACATATGGCAACACAAAATATGGTCTGACACGAGGGTGGTGCAGTCAGTGACTGCGTGTCTCTCATGGAGAGAGGATGTATGCTGACGCGCTCACACAATATCTCCCAGAACATGCTATTTTTGCTATTTTTAGCTATTTGTACTGCAATATGACTTACAAAACGAACAAGAGAGAAGCATTGACAGCTAGATGCATGCGAGCTCTCCATACGAGCTGGCCGCAATGCGTAAATCACCAGTCACGAGTGACCGCAGGTTGAGTAAACTTTGAGAGCGCGCTACGCAACTCCAACTTTTACAACTAGATAAAATTTCACAGCCTTTATTTATTATTCTATTTACATGAAACTTGCACATTATATGTAGAGTTTACGCCTCTATAAACGCATGTCATTATTCTTATCTACGTAGATTTATTGATTTTATAAATAATGATACACCTCATTTTGTTGCATACGTTTTTGGGAAACTTTTATAAAATCTGTATTATTGCACTAAATACATCTGGGATAATAATGTGACATGCAAATCTTTATTATATAGTAAGGTCATAGCTGAGTGTCGTATAAATGATTTTGGTTCACAATTGTGGGCTGTGAAATTTTTTGAACATGGTTGAAAAATTCGTCTTTTTTTTTTTTTTTTTTCTCCGTCTCTATTTAGGCTGAGATGCTGAAACTTGGCCTAGGTGCAGCACCTTTCACATGTATCAGGATAATAAATTATGAATACCCTACAACAATTTTTTAAATCCTGGTCCCATGGCCCCTTAGGTTATATCAGGCTGAAAACAGCCAACTGAAGTACATACCTCCCGGGCCGTGACTCAGGTAGCAGCCAAGGTAATTGGTGGAAAACATTCGTTTCCGACAGCAACAGAGGAACTACTTCCAACATATATGATCTGGTCGAAAATAGTATCGAGAATCATTCATTGTGAATGGAGGGAGTTTGGGTGTCTTGTGCCTATATTTCATTACACTATGACATTTTGAATCAGAATTGCATTAATCTCTTATCCCAGTGTGCTCCCGGCCTCATAG